GAAGGATACTTGGCTAATACTTTGGTAATGTTAATTAGTGTCCTTATAAATCACTTGGAACCTTTTCTTTCTGTCTTAATGAATAAATTTTGCCCAAACTGCCTTGTGTAACTGGAGGGATTCCTTGTCAAAATATTGTACATTTAATGGATTTGTTATCCATGCTATGTAGGAGAAAGGAAACAGCAATAAGTCCCCAACCTAGGACTAACCTATTTTGCATTTAATATCAGGCGTAAGACACCAGGTTCTGCTGGGAACAAAAAGGCCCTTGAGGTTAACTTACCAGAAAGTTCTCGAAAATTTATTACTTGCATTAGGAAGTATTTGCTGTTTTATCTCAAACTATTGGAGGAAACTGGAGATAGATGTATTCTTGAACGTTCGTATGCTGCTCTTCGGGCAGATAAACGGGTAAATTCTAGAGTCCTGATTTACTGCTTAAGTTACACGTCAGTAAATAATAACTGCTACAATTTATTCTTTATTTGTTCTCGTGGAAGAACTTTTATTATAGCTTTTTCTTGCACTTGATTAATGCAAATTGTTTGATGATTTGGCTTGTTGCCTTTAAGATAGTATTACTAAGATTGGTTTAGTGAAATTAGGTGATAAGAATTTACTGCTAAAGAGATGGATTTACAGTTTATATGAGCACAAGTGAAGGAAACCCCTTCACGACCAGTGCAAAAGCTGGTCCTGAATTTGAAGAATCTAGCATCTGATTTATCAAGGGGGAAAATTTCTAATCCAGGACTTTGACTCGGGTGGATTCCTAGTCCTCCTTTCTCTTTTCAATTTTCATTTCTTTTATATTAACATTTCTAAACCTCGGTATATCAGTTTTACGTCTATAAAAACATGGACGTTCTTGTTGCCAATTATAGCTAGTAGGTATTCGTCAAAAATACTAGAATGAATTTCACGAATTATTCATTTTATTTGCTTCAGACTCTCCTAGACCCTTCAAATGTGTTTCTTAAGCAGCCTTGGAGGCTTAACTATTTGTGTTTTATTTGTGTGTTCTGTGCATCACCACTTTCCTTGCCTAGTAAACATTTCTATTTTGTGTAGAATCCTTTAATATTATATGTTATTAGTCACCCGTGGACTATCTGCTTCATTTCTTTTGCCATTTTTGCCTTTCTGGTTCTGTAGTTTGATTGTATTGTAACATTTTTTGTTTGTCTTTCATTTCTACCACAAGTGCAGTTTTCATTATGCATTGAAGATCTTATACCAGTGGCTATCGGTAGATATCTAAAGGCTCTGATTTCAACTAGCTGCCATTCTCAGACTGCTGCCTCTGGTTCAGTGACCAGTTATGACAATGTGCTGGAGAGAATGTTTGCGTTGTTCATGGAACAAGGGAGCTTATGGCCAGAGATATGCAGCTTGACTGAAATTGAAGGCTCGGATATGTCAGAGAGTATCATATATGGGTAATAAGATTTAAAGTAATATATGACTTTTTGAACAAATTATGTTCACTGAGCTTCTTAGATTGAAGTACAATATGGTCGCTGTCTGTTTTTCAATTGTATTAACTAATTTAGATTCTCAAATTTTTGAAGATATCTTCATGACTATATTGTATTATTGGAGAAAAACGGAAAACTGGAAACTCTTGAAGCAATAAATGAGAAGATTCGGAAGCGTTCTAAGAATCCAAAGTTCTCTGACAGTAATTCTGCAGAAATTGGCAGGCATGCTTCTGTCGCTTGGTGCCGATCTCTCATATATAATTTGGCACAAATAACTCCATTATTATGTGGATTCTCAAACGGGATTCAGGTCCATAGTTTGACGGAAAGTGGGATGGATAATAGCCAGTTGCTCTGCATTGATTTGCAGCCAAATGAATTATGGAGTACAGCTTTTCAAGATCCAGCTTCTTTGGAAAAGATTGAAACAAGATGGAGTTCCATTTTAGGAAAAATAAAAAATATCATCATTAACAAAGCTTCTGATGAGAATTTGGAAACTGCAAACACTTTGCTCAGAGCATGCTATAATTTTTATCGGGAGAGTTCTTCAGTAGTGCTTACCTCCGGACTCAACTTTTATTTGATTCCATCACAATTAATTACACATATATCATTCAACCCAAGTACAGCTGGGATTGATGCACTTGATCTAAGCATACCAAGGAAGCTTCTCTTGTGGGCCTATGTTTTATCGCATGGACGATGTGCAAGTATCTCAATTGTTGTGAAGCATTGTGAAGAAATTTCGAAGGTATGTATGGTAAACACCCTACTGAATTTCCTTACTTAGCTGCACATATCTTTTTGCCAAATCAAACCCCCTCATAGCATCGTTGTGAAGGGTGCTTGACATTCAAATCATCACATGACAATTGAATTGCGAACTACAAGTTAAGATTATTTCTCTACATGACAATTGCAACATTTGTACAATTTATTACCTAGTTAAAATTGAGTGAGTGATGTTTCTTCCTTTTATAAGCCGATCGTTAATCCACATTACTTACGGCAAGTTTTGCTTTGCAGTCAAAGATGAAAAGAGGAAGTGGTACATCACCTGCGTTATCAAACACATCTCCTGCCCCTAATCTTTCAGGTTATATTTCCCTCCGAATAGGTTTTATTTTGAAAGAAAGAGTTATGTCTAACAATGCTTGCTGATTATAGGTAGCGGTAAAAACGGACCAATTTCTGGCGGAGGCATTGACTTTGATTCTCCGCATGTCGCAACAGTGCCTAGCGGCAATACCACTAATGTTGAGAATTCACATTCCTCCGATGACGTTCAAAGGAATCTCTTTGCTTCTCCCCAGTTGCATCAATGCACCACTAACGACACAGAAAGAAGCAATTTGATAGCACATGAAGGAGATGCCGAGGGAGATTGACTTCTTGCTCGTCCCACCAATTTTATTAGTGCACCCGCTTCAACTTGTAAATCCCATTTTAGTGATAAAAAATGTAAATAAGGTTTTATTTGCTGAGACCTTTTAGTGCTCACATTTTTTTCATCACATGATGGCTGTAGATAGTGAGAGATGATGAATTTTAACACAATTTAACATTAATGTATATATTTTCTGTAATTTCTAAAACTATGAGCAATCTAATTTCAGCTACAAACTTCTAATTTTATTTTATTCTCAATTATTAGACAAGTATCGATGTCCAATGGTGTAAATATATTATTTTCAAAGTTTTAAATTTGTGCAGACATATACCGATCAATCACTAACTAATTAAATTAGGGTTTACGTTAAAATATAAGTATTAAAGTTAAAAAAAAAAAACTCATACGACTAATTGTTATTTAATGATGCAATATTAATTATATCTTTTATTAATTTTTATATAATCTTTTTTACTTCTTTATAACAAAGATACTTTTATTTTAAGACTTTTATGTATTTGTTTATTAAATAAAAAAAATGGTACATAATTTTGTGAAAAAAGTTGGAAACGCTAGGATAGGTGTGGAATCCGGAAACCATTTGAGCCACCTTCGTGGGACTGAGACTGTCGCCCACTGTCGCCCCGCTGAGGACGACCGTAGCGTTATGTTTCTTCCGTGTTGTTTGGGGACATTCCGGAATGGATGTCCTGGAGTGTTAACTCAAGTTATATTCTTAAACACCCATTCAACAAATTATCTAGAAGTATTCTGGAACAGCTTCCGTGGTCATTCCAGAATAGTCGATTTATTCATTTTTGTGTTGTATTTGTAAGATTTCTTTAATTTAGTCTTTTCATTATTAGAAATTCCAATCTCCATCTTTTTATGTTCACATCAATTTGGGTTTTTTAGATTGACGCAAACAAATTCATTATATGCATATGCATGATACAAAACAGACATTTAACAATTCAACAGAAAGACAATAAATTATGGATTGAATAAATTGTCTAAATACAAGAAAATAAATTATGGATTTAGTCAAAACAATTGCATTCAAAATTAACTACGCATCACTTTTTTACGACTTTTCTTTCAAATCATAAAAAAAAAGCATGTTTTATTTTATTTTATAAATTTAATTCGCCGAAACCATATACAAGGATTATGACTATCATTTAAGAAAAATAAAGACTGCATTACTTAATTGACGAACTCAATAAAAAATTCTAACAATATAAGAACTAAATTAAATAAAGCATATAAATATAGAGACGAAAAAAATAATAACCATTTAAATATTAGAAACTTCATTGGAAACTGAGAATCCAAATTGAATAAAATATACAAATTCAGAGAAGTAATTTGTAGCCAAATAACCATCACAAATCTAAAAAGCAGCCAAGTACCTTCTATAATAATTTCAAAGTGATCGAACACATGCTGTTACTATCAAGAAAATTTTAGAATAGGATTTTAAGAAGTCTGATGGCAAAAGGTAACTATTTCATGAAACATTTACTAACTTGATTCCAAAAAATAAATAAATACAAGCGTTTTAGAGGGTGAGGAAAATATAACGCGCTTCAAGAACAATTCTTATCCCTAGAACCCCAGATTATTTGCCGACTCTAATCAACTTGATGCCGTTGGCCAATTGAACATATTAAAAAAAGTAGTCCACGACTACAACATAAATGTGCTTAGTTACTTGATATTTACACAGTAGGAAAAATGAAGGTGAAAATGATTTAATTTTTTTTTTAAAAAGAACTATTGAACATTAGATGTTACAGTAATGAATGCCTCTACAACTTCTACTTTGGATTTCTGTAGTTCTGTTTCTCCCACCTCGAGTTTATCTAAAATACTACCATCTCTATGTCAATCAATTTTTGATCTATCCTATATTACTGAACTGAGAACATGTGATGGATCGATCGAGAGAGGAGGAGGGAAATGGGGGTAAAAAGTTAATGTTGAATTATATGCTGTGAACATACCATCATGACTGCCAGAACAGCTCAAAATCGTTACTATACAAGGACCGGTCTTGAATTTCCAGATTGGCAACATGCCAATTAATGAGTTGAGACTGGAACAATTTACATAAAACCAATCCAGCTGGGAAAATCCACCATTCACTTTCATCCCTGCATGCACGCATCCCCAGACAGAGTAAGATTTTCCCAAATAAGCAGGCTCTTAACCAAAGTTAAACCAGACACTTACGTGATACTCCATGGCTGAATGCTCGGGTGTTTTTTACTGGAAGACGATTGAGAGTTGTAGTGTATATATCCACAAAGAAATGCAACAACCTAGTTCCAAAAAACACAAGATCCCAATTAAAACCAGTGAAAAAAAAGGAAAGGTTTATTGGCCCTACAAATAAACAATAGATTGAAGGATCAAATATCCCCAACTAGCTGAAATTCGATTTACTCACAACATTTATGAAGGATGTAAGATTCCACAGAGCATAAAGACGTGCAAGGCCTGCAGAACGCCTTGGCCCATGACTAAAGAGAGCATTAATTCCGACAGGAAAAGGGAGAAGAATGCCGAAAGGTAATATAAACAACACAAAGAAGACATCCACCAAAGAAATTGAATACAGCTGAAGCAGAGTAAGTAATACTAAACTAAAATCTCCTAGAAGCAACATTGAGATTACTAAACCAACAAGGTCCTGCAGTCAACAGGAGCAAAAAGAAAGAAATCAGTAATCAGATTAGTCAGCCAAAAATTAGCAATTTTGTCTAGCAAACCAGAAAACAATCAATACTAGAAATACCTGATGTCCAACAGGTTTTGTATTCTTAAGTATGAAAGAGAGAAGATAAAAGATATCTCTCTTCTCGTCAAGCATCTGCAAATTGTTTACATCTAAAGCAGCTCCATGCATTTGTCGCCTTATATAATTGTCCTCAGTTCTTCCACCAGGGCCTAAATGAGCTCTGCTTCTGGCAAACCCAAAAGGATGTTCCTTTTTAACACTCTGGACCCTAGAGACCAAAAATTAATAAACAAACAGAGAGTATCAAGTATAATACCATCAAAATCATACCACATTCCACTAAAATATGTATAAAAGATTACCTTGCTCTTTCCTCAGTTCTTAAAGCTCCATCGGCACTTCCTCCAGTGGCTTGACCATTCTCAAGAGCATATACCATAAGCCCATAGTGGCAATAGCCACTGCTTGTAGCCTGAAACCAGGCAAGGTCAACACGCACACCATGGACACTCAATGCAGGATTGGCATGAGTCTCAAGCCATCTGAGGACAGGTCGAAATGTTACTCTTAGCCGTCCACGGCGAACCAACCGTAGTTGTGCATTCAGCCCAGCAACCAATCTATACCAGGTTGTAGGTTGTACTGACTGCAAACATCATTAAAGGTATGCATATAATTAAATTCGTTAGAATGGAACAAAAAGTAAGGCATGTGTCTTAAGTGCATCTGTGCATAACACAGATCCCAAAATAAATAAACAAACCTGACTCATTAGGCTGGTAAGGATATTATCATTGTGCAGGGAGAATGGAACCATATAACTTCCATCACCTCCAAAAGGCAACGACATTGGGAACCTTTCATGTAATCGAGGAGGAAGGTCTATCCTCTTTTCATCGCCACCAAGAAAGAAGTCCACATATGCCAGCATGAAATCAGTAGTTGCATTTACCTATATTATTTTATGGGTCAGTTAACACTATGAAACAGCATTAAATACTTGAAACAGCTGTGATTTCAATAAATGAAAAGTTGAAATTCTTAATTGCTTGGTCTAAATAGCCCCAGACAGTAGAACGAAGAAGTATGCCAAAACCTAGAGTGAGGTAAGCTATCTTAAAATAAAAAGAAACAACTCTTACGTTCAAAATTACAACATACATTACCCTGACATCAGGCAGGAAAGAAAAAATATCAAGAANGGATCATCTATCTTTCTGCTTCAAATCTTCACGCTCATCATTTACAATAAATATGTGGGAAATTGATAGCATGGTGAAAAAAGGAAGGTATGATTGTTTTTATCCTTTTATTTTTAAGTTTTTGTTAATTTGATAAATGAAATGGCATTTCGTCACTAACAATTGATTTCGCCATTTTGAAGGATACTTGGCTAATACTTTGGTAATGTTAATTAGTGTCCTTATAAATCACTTGGAACCTTTTCTTTCTGTCTTAATGAATAAATTTTGCCCAAACTGCCTTGTGTAACTGGAGGGATTCCTTGTCAAAATATTGTACATTTAATGGATTTGTTATCCATGCTATGTAGGAGAAAGGAAACAGCAATAAGTCCCCAACCTAGGACTAACCTATTTTGCATTTAATATCAGGCGTAAGACACCAGGTTCTGCTGGGAACAAAAAGGCCCTTGAGGTTAACTTACCAGAAAGTTCTCGAAAATTTATTACTTGCATTAGGAAGTATTTGCTGTTTTATCTCAAACTATTGGAGGAAACTGGAGATAGATGTATTCTTGAACGTTCGTATGCTGCTCTTCGGGCAGATAAACGGGTAAATTCTAGAGTCCTGATTTACTGCTTAAGTTACACGTCAGTAAATAATAACTGCTACAATTTATTCTTTATTTGTTCTCGTGGAAGAACTTTTATTATAGCTTTTTCTTGCACTTGATTAATGCAAATTGTTTGATGATTTGGCTTGTTGCCTTTAAGATAGTATTACTAAGATTGGTTTAGTGAAATTAGGTGATAAGAATTTACTGCTAAAGAGATGGATTTACAGTTTATATGAGCACAAGTGAAGGAAACCCCTTCACGACCAGTGCAAAAGCTGGTCCTGAATTTGAAGAATCTAGCATCTGATTTATCAAGGGGGAAAATTTCTAATCCAGGACTTTGACTCGGGTGGATTCCTAGTCCTCCTTTCTCTTTTCAATTTTCATTTCTTTTATATTAACATTTCTAAACCTCGGTATATCAGTTTTACGTCTATAAAAACATGGACGTTCTTGTTGCCAATTATAGCTAGTAGGTATTCGTCAAAAATACTAGAATGAATTTCACGAATTATTCATTTTATTTGCTTCAGACTCTCCTAGACCCTTCAAATGTGTTTCTTAAGCAGCCTTGGAGGCTTAACTATTTGTGTTTTATTTGTGTGTTCTGTGCATCACCACTTTCCTTGCCTAGTAAACATTTCTATTTTGTGTAGAATCCTTTAATATTATATGTTATTAGTCACCCGTGGACTATCTGCTTCATTTCTTTTGCCATTTTTGCCTTTCTGGTTCTGTAGTTTGATTGTATTGTAACATTTTTTGTTTGTCTTTCATTTCTACCACAAGTGCAGTTTTCATTATGCATTGAAGATCTTATACCAGTGGCTATCGGTAGATATCTAAAGGCTCTGATTTCAACTAGCTGCCATTCTCAGACTGCTGCCTCTGGTTCAGTGACCAGTTATGACAATGTGCTGGAGAGAATGTTTGCGTTGTTCATGGAACAAGGGAGCTTATGGCCAGAGATATGCAGCTTGACTGAAATTGAAGGCTCGGATATGTCAGAGAGTATCATATATGGGTAATAAGATTTAAAGTAATATATGACTTTTTGAACAAATTATGTTCACTGAGCTTCTTAGATTGAAGTACAATATGGTCGCTGTCTGTTTTTCAATTGTATTAACTAATTTAGATTCTCAAATTTTTGAAGATATCTTCATGACTATATTGTATTATTGGAGAAAAACGGAAAACTGGAAACTCTTGAAGCAATAAATGAGAAGATTCGGAAGCGTTCTAAGAATCCAAAGTTCTCTGACAGTAATTCTGCAGAAATTGGCAGGCATGCTTCTGTCGCTTGGTGCCGATCTCTCATATATAATTTGGCACAAATAACTCCATTATTATGTGGATTCTCAAACGGGATTCAGGTCCATAGTTTGACGGAAAGTGGGATGGATCATAGCCAGTTGCTCTGCATTGATTTGCAGCCAAATGAATTATGGAGTACAGCTTTTCAAGATCCAGCTTCTTTGGAAAAGATTGAAACAAGATGGAGTTCCATTTTAGGAAAAATAAAAAATATCATCATTAACAAAGCTTCTGATGAGAATTTGGAAACTGCAAACACTTTGCTCAGAGCATGCTATAATTTTTATCGGGAGAGTTCTTCAGTAGTGCTTACCTCCGGACTCAACTTTTATTTGATTCCATCACAATTAATTACACATATATCATTCAACCCAAGTGCAGCTGGGATTGATGCACTTGATCTAAGCATACCAAGGAAGCTTCTCTTGTGGGCCTATGTTTTATCGCATGGACGATGTGCAAGTATCTCAATTGTTGTGAAGCATTGTGAAGAAATTTCGAAGGTATGTATGGTAAACACCCTACTGAATTTCCTTACTTAGCTGCACATATCTTTTTGCCAAATCAAACCCCCTCATAGCATCGTTGTGAAGGGTGCTTGACATTCAAATCATCACATGACAATTGAATTGCGAACTACAAGTTAAGATTATTTCTCTACATGACAATTGCAACATTTGTACAATTTATTACCTAGTTAAAATTGAGTGAGTGATGTTTCTTCCTTTTATAAGCCGATCGTTAATCCACATTACTTACGGCAAGTTTTGCTTTGCAGTCAAAGATGAAAAGAGGAAGTGGTACATCACCTGCGTTATCAAACACATCTCCTGCCCCTAATCTTTCAGGTTATATTTCCCTCCGAATAGGTTTTATTTTGAAAGAAAGAGTTATGTCTAACAATGCTTGCTGATTATAGGTAGCGGTAAAAACGGACCAATTTCTGGCGGAGGCATTGACTTTGATTCTCCGCATGTCGCAACAGTGCCTAGCGGCAATTCCACTAATGTTGGGAATTCACATTCCTCCGATGACGTTCAAAGGAATCTCTTTGCTTCTCCCCAGTTGCATCAATGCACCACTAACGACACAGAAAGAAGCAATTTGATAGCACATGAAGGAGATGCCGAGGGAGATTGACTTCTTGCTCGTCCCACCAATTTTATTAGTGCACCCGCTTCAACTTGTAAATCCCATTTTAGTGATAAAAAATGTAAATAAGGTTTTATTTGCTGAGACCTTTTAGTGCTCACATTTTTTTCATCACATGATGGCTGTAGATAGTGAGAGATGATGAATTTTAACACAATTTAACATTAATGTATATATTTTCTGTAATTTCTAAAACTATGAGCAATCTAATTTCAGCTACAAACTTCTAATTTTATTTTATTCTCAATTATTAGACAAGTATCGATGTCCAATGGTGTAAATATATTATTTTCAAAGTTTTAAATTTGTGCAGACATATACCGATCAATCACTAACTAATTAAATTAGGGTTTACGTTAAAATATAAGTATTAAAGTTAAAAAAAAAAAACTCATACGACTAATTGTTATTTAATGATGCAATATTAATTATATCTTTTATTAATTTTTATATAATCTTTTTTACTTCTTTATAACAAAGATACTTTTATTTTAAGACTTTTATGTATTTGTTTATTAAATAAAAAAAATGGTACATAATTTTGTGAAAAAAGTTGGAAACGCTAGGATAGGTGTGGAATCCGGAAACCATTTGAGCCACCTTCGTGGGACTGAGACTGTCGCCCACTGTCGCCCCGCTGAGGACGACCGTAGCGTTATGTTTCTTCCGTGTTGTTTGGGGACATTCCGGAATGGATGTCCTGGAGTGTTAACTCAAGTTATATTCTTAAACACCCATTCAACAAATTATCTAGAAGTATTCTGGAACAGCTTCCGTGGTCATTCCAGAATAGTCGATTTATTCATTTTTGTGTTGTATTTGTAAGATTTCTTTAATTTAGTCTTTTCATTATTAGAAATTCCAATCTCCATCTTTTTATGTTCACATCAATTTGGGTTTTTTAGATTGACGCAAACAAATTCATTATATGCATATGCATGATACAAAACAGACATTTAACAATTCAACAGAAAGACAATAAATTATGGATTGAATAAATTGTCTAAATACAAGAAAATAAATTATGGATTTAGTCAAAACAATTGCATTCAAAATTAACTACGCATCACTTTTTTACGACTTTTCTTTCAAATCATAAAAAAAAAGCATGTTTTATTTTATTTTATAAATTTAATTCGCCGAAACCATATACAAGGATTATGACTATCATTTAAGAAAAATAAAGACTGCATTACTTAATTGACGAACTCAATAAAAAATTCTAACAATATAAGAACTAAATTAAATAAAGCATATAAATATAGAGACGAAAAAAATAATAACCATTTAAATATTAGAAACTTCATTGGAAACTGAGAATCCAAATTGAATAAAATATACAAATTCAGAGAAGTAATTTGTAGCCAAATAACCATCACAAATCTAAAAAGCAGCCAAGTACCTTCTATAATAATTTCAAAGTGATCGAACACATGCTGTTACTATCAAGAAAATTTTAGAATAGGATTTTAAGAAGTCTGATGGCAAAAGGTAACTATTTCATGAAACATTTACTAACTTGATTCCAAAAAATAAATAAATACAAGCGTTTTAGAGGGTGAGGAAAATATAACGCGCTTCAAGAACAATTCTTATCCCTAGAACCCCAGATTATTTGCCGACTCTAATCAACTTGATGCCGTTGGCCAATTGAACATATTAAAAAAAGTAGTCCACGACTACAACATAAATGTGCTTAGTTACTTGATATTTACACAGTAGGAAAAATGAAGGTGAAAATGATTTAATTTTTTTTTTAAAAAGAACTATTGAACATTAGATGTTACAG